GGCAGTGGTGAAACGGTTCTCGGCTCCCTGGGACTTACGTTCAGGTAGAGGAAACGGACAATAAATAACAAGTAGATACATGACACAGTGTCAGGGAGGGAACATAGATAAACAGGGTCAGCAGACAGACAGACAGACGAAGCAATCGTAAGCGAATAAAGAACTAAGAACTTAGTGAATGGCAAAAAACCATCAGAAATAAATGGGCAGTGGTTGGTTTATTCAATAAGTGGTTTTGGAGAAATTAATTTTAATCCATAACTCACATCATAAGTTCTAGGAGGATGAAAAAGTTAAGTGTACAAATGAAGCCATAAACTAGAGCAAAATTACCTATGGGTAGGTAAGAATGGCAAAGTCTAAAATGATTAATAGACTATACAAGTGTAATAATTTATTATTTCTGGTATCAAAAGAAAATCGTGAAATCAAGAATTGAACAAATTAGGGGAGATGCATGCTACAAAGGGGAATAATAATATAATGTTAATTAAATAACATTAATGTAGCACATCCTTAATTCTGAAGCTTTTTTCTTGCATTTCAATGTTTCTTGAGGTCAGGATATGTTGTTCAAATAATGTGGTATGTTTAATGAGGTCATTAAAAACATAAATCAATGGTAAAGCTTATAAGCAATAACATCTTACAATTAAAATGTGAATTTTTTTAAAGTTCATAAAAATTAGTTTGAACATTAAAGTTCCTGGTAGAAAATTACTAATTCATTCATTCAACAAATATTGGAGAATTGGAGTGTTTACAGTGTTATCAAAGTAGAAGGTGTACAGTGGTAAACAAAACAGACAAATGCTTGTTTTTAAGTGCCTTTTCTAGGCCAGGCACTGCCTGGTGCCCTAATTACTAATTCATTCATTCAACAAATATTGGAGAATTGGAGTGTTTACAGTGTTATCAAAGTGGAAGGTGTACAGTGGTAAACAAAACAGACAAATGCTTGTTTTTAAGTGCCTTTTCTAGGCCAGGCACTGCCTGGTGCCCTATACACTACCTATATCCCATCTGAGATCGCTTGGGTTCTTTCAGGCAGAATAAGGACCTTGGCCAAAGCTACCCAGCAGTTAAGTGATGGAATCAGATTCCAGCTCAAGTCTGCATGACTCTAAACCCTGTGTCTTTTACGCAACTTACCATAATTGTTGAGCTAAATGAAACTTTCTCCTGCAGTCTTGCTGACAGAGCTAGTATTACCTGTGCCCGTTTTTCTTCCCACCTGCCTCAGCCCTGGGCTTCGGACTCAAGTCAGGGAAGTGTTGGTGGAAATAGAAAGCACTGCAGTGGATGCCCCAGCCAGGACTGATGTCTTTTTAGCCAAAAATAAAGTTTTGCCAAAAAAACACATAAAAAGTCTAGTCCTTATTTAGATGTCCTACTAGTAGGTGCTTTTAAAACTTGTGCTGTACAAAATCTATATCGTTTAACACATTTTATCAATAAAAACAAGTAAACAACTCACAATCATAGATTTGGGGAAGGGTGGGAAAGACAGACAACAAACCACACACTGTCCTCAGCGTCTGAGGGAAAAGTAACGAGAAACTGTTTTAAGTTCTCTAGAAGCAAAAGCTGTGTGTGTGGATTCTTGTGCATTGTGACTTATCGAGCAGGTGCTCTCAGGAGAGGGCGGTGGGGACAAGTGAGGCAAAGATGTGGTCGTCCCTGCAGACTAGCTTCCCCCTGACCCCCCAGGAACTCTGGAGCATGAATTGGACCAGAGCAGTGCCACATGGAGGCAGGGGAGCTGTGTCAGCCAGTCACTGGCTTCGTGCTGCCGGGGGTAGGGGGGTAAGGTGTGTTTAAGCCACCCAGAGTGGCTGGGGTCCTTCTCCCTGAGAAGGAGGCAGCTGCAAGCCATTAGTGGCCAGCTCCCAGCAGCTGGGAGGGGTGCACTGCCCAACACAGAGGACTGGGTGGGGCACCAACAGAGCCCACCACAGAAGTCCAAAGGGACCCATTTGGCAGGTTATCAAGTGGTAACTTTTCACACGTAGCAGGAGCCCTCTGACTCACGTGCCCATTGAACGCAGGGTTATTATTGAGGAGCATCTTGGTTTTTCTTTTGCTTTAGGGTGTTAAAGTATTCGATCAGCTTTGGTAGAAGGAAAAATTCATTTCAAAGAAAGGCGTCATGGCAACTGTGCTCTGCAGAATTTAAGAAGGTATTTAGGAGATTTTCAAGTTATTACTGGCAAAAAGGCAAAGAAAATTAGAGATATAATTGGAAACAATGATCTGAAACTGGCCTATAACCTTGTCAGAAGAATGATAATGAATTCCTACAGCTACTATACGTCTTCATTCTAGATTTTTCTAAAAGCATTTTTACACATTGGTATTTTCCTGCCAATATATATTTTTTTCCTAACAGTGCTTTGCAAAGAATGATCAACTCTGTAAGTTTTTATTCTGTCAGTCAGCTATGTCTCCTGTAAAGGGAATAAAACAAAGGAAAAGCAACGAATGTGAAGCCCTTGAGTTTTGCTGATTCGTTCTCCCTGTGCCTGTGCTGAGAGTGCTGACACCGTATTTGGATTTAGGGACCAAAACCAAGATCAGCCTTTGAAACTAATGAATGACTTAATACCTCACTTCATAGATTCTGAGGCATGCTTTTCTTCTTGCTTCCACATTTCACAGTCTCTGAAATCTGGATACATCTTCCAACTAATGGCATTTAAATATAATTGGAAGTATTTTTCTGTCCTAGTGATATGTAAACTAATAATGTAAACTTACAATTGACAGTGTCTTAGATTCAATAAAACACGATAGATTGGGTTTATTTGTTTTCTTATAATGTAGCATGATTCTTACATATTATATGTGTTTGAATATTAATTCTTGAATTCATTTGTTATATTTAGCCTTTCCTCTTTCAAGCACCCATTTAGTGCTGTGCACATTAGCTTTAACGAGTGTGACAAGGGAGCCCCAGACTGTGGCTATAACTGTATGTTTGTGTCAACAGCTCTCTGATTAACAGAAATAGGGAGGAGGCAGGAAAAATGCTTTTCTTTCATTTCTTCTGCTTTGAGTTTATGTAGCAGATACTGAGTATCGGTTTTACAAATGGGATTGTGCCCGTGTTTAATGAGTGACAAAGGCAGGCCAAGACTTTGTGTGTCATTTTTAAAAATATGATTATACTCATATGATAGTGGATACATGTAATTCTACATCTGCCCAAACCCATAGAATCTACAACATCAAGAGTGAGCCCTAATGTAAACTATGGCTTTGGGTGATAATGACATGTCAACGTAGGTTCATCCGTTGTGACAAGTGTGCCATCTGGTAAGGGGTGCTGATAGTTGGGGAGGCCGTGTTTGTGGGAGCAGATTGTAAATGGGAACCTCTGTACTGTCCACTCACTGTGAACCTAAAATTGCCCTAAAAATATAAAGACTATTTTTTAAAATGTTTAACTGTATGAGGGTACTTCAAAAAGTTCATGAAAAAATAGAATTGAACGTTAATACTAATCTTTCCATGAACTTTTTGACGGCCCCTCATACAGAAAGCTGACTCTCTTGCCCAGCTGCCTGTTCCTGATGACAGAGGCAATGTTCTGGAAACACCTGAGTTAGAAAGTTCTCCCTACCTGGACATCCATCCCCACTATCTCCTGTGCTATTTGTCTACTAGGTGGGAAAGTCAGTTTGGAAATGCCATCCCAACAAGACCTCCAGTGCCTAAGAGGGTCTCTTGTGGAGGATGGGTAAAGTAGTCAGAATATTCTATGACCATATCTTCCTGAGCAAGCATTATACAAAAACAATGTATTTAGTCTAAATGTGTTCTTTTCATATTTGTCTGCATACAACTCAGGACTGTATTTCAAGCTAAAACACAGTAACAGTCAGGTGAACAGCATCTACTGATGCTTCAATACCTTTTTTCATAGCATAGTACTCACTCTGCACTATGAAGGTACACACAAAACACATACCCAGTGTTACCTGTGCATGCGTGAACACACCTACTTTCATTGAGGAAAGAAGAATATTTCAAGCTAAAACACAGTAACAGTCAGGTGAACAGCATCTACTGATGCTTCAATACCTTTCTTCATAGCATAGTACTCACTCTGCACTATGAAGGTACACACAAAACACATACCCAGTGTTACATGTGCATGCGTGAACACACCTACTTTCATTGAGGAAAGAAGAACCCGTCACCCACCCCATATAAACTGGCTGACTCGTTTCCAGAATGCCTATTCTGTTATGGGAATTCAGCCTACGAATAAATTTTAACATGTTGGTTTTTTTAAAAATCAACATTTTACCAGAACTTCTTAGAATTGTTTTCTGATATTAACATAAAATACATGCTTGTTTTTTTCTATAACTTTAATTCCAGTAGACAGGCATCTCCCCCACAAAAAGATTCTCAAACTGAAGCTAACATGAAAATCAATAACCTTTATCAAATTACAGTGAGATTTACCCTATAAGCTGCTGAGCGTTTCTACAGAAACAAGATCTACTGAGTTTGCTTCTAGAAGTGTGATGCCCCAAAAATGAGACTCCGTTTCTTACACTGCTGTGGGTTGTCTTTTCTCCCCTCACAGGCCTTGAACCGGGGCATCGCTGCTGTCAAGGAAGATGCGGTGGAAATGCTGGCCAGCTACGGGCTGGCATATTCCCTCATGAAGTTCTTCACGGGACCCATGAGTGACTTCAAGAACGTGGGCCTGGTGTTTGTGAACAGCAAGCGAGACAGGACCAAAGCTGTCCTGTGCATGGTGGTGGCGGGTGCCATCGCTGCCGTCTTCCACACCCTGATAGGTGAGGTCTAGCTTTATTAATTTCTTATTTCTTTTCATTGATCTACATATATTTACTGGAATAAGTGATCTTCAGGAATTATCAAACATTTCTTACGAAAATTTCAGGGCATGGCAGTTAGGAGTTTGTGTTCCTAGCTCAAGAAAATATAGTGTATTTTTCTAGGAAGCTGGAGTTTTGTGTCTCTGATTCCCAAAGTCACAGGAGGGAGGGGGGCTATCACAAACAGATGATCCTATCTAGGAACAGCATTTTGTAAGTTCCACAAAATAGCAGGTGCTTTTGTTAGAGATATGTGTATCGGACTCATTGAATCTTAAGAATAAACATCAAACGATTGTTATTTAGACTTAATGTTTATCAGTAGTGAGAACAGATAACAGATTGTTTTATTTGTTAAATTAATTTGTTCTGGGGCCTCATTATTCTATTTTATTCATAGACAAGACTAAATACTCTTGGCATAACTTTCTTTCCATGAAACAAGACAGCTATATCATACGTAGAGTGATTGGCCTACGATTTAACCACGACCTTGGAAAAGCACATCGCTTCAGGACCGGAGTTCTACTTCTGCTGTCGTCTTGGTATTGATAATACCCCAAGGGCATGATGTTGGAACTTCTTAGCTTTAGAACAGCTTTTTTACCTGGCATAAAGATTGAGTGGCACATCTATTAAAGCCAGTTGCATAGAACACCATGAATGTTCATAAACCCATTGTGTACGCTAAAATTTTTGCTGGTTGTATGAGAAACACAAATGTCAGTGTTGAATGAAGGAGCCAGAAGATTAAGCAAACCATTTACAGTGTATTCACATGACAGCTAATTCTTACTCACATAACTGCGAATCTAAAAGTAAATAGGGTTAGGCCTTTGTGGTTTCCTTGTTAATGTGGCATAGAATTTCGTGCTAAGAACAGTGTAGAAGAGAGCAAGTCTGGTGATGGGCCAAGTATCCAGCCCAGGTGTTGATGTGATCATTTAATCCGTGCTCAGAGCTTCGGGGCCTGGGGTGGAGAGGAAATGACCTTTCTCCCCTCAGTGTATGCCCTGAATGCTAACTAGGGACTGTTTGTACAAGGACCTATATTTGAAGAATTTCCGCAGCTAGATTTGATCTGGGCCATTTTCAAAGATGGTATATATTTGAGAAAAAGCCATACTATTTTAAAATAAGGAGCTTTTCTAAATAGGTAAATGAGTTCTCTTTTGCTATTAGTCTTTTTACATCGGACACTTAAACCTATTTTCACTTCTTAGTGATGCTGAAGACAGCTACTTACATTTCTGTTTTAACAGTCAGCTCTTGGATAACTATGACGGGGGAGCATGGATGTAGACAAAACAAAAAAGCAAATATTCCAAATAGATTTGACTTGAGAAGCCATTGGATGACCTCAGGCAGTTCTCCTAATTACCTTTGCTTGGGCTAACATTGAAATGAGCGTGTAGTCCCTGCATGAACAGCTCCTGAGCGGGGCCTACCGTAAGTACAAGACGCCACACGTTATAAATTCACCGTGCTTAACTCTCAGAGTGGGAATAGGAACCAGAGAACTCTGGGTTTAAACTTAGTTTCTCTGTGTTCCTTTGTTCTGGCAAAACTAGTCTAATCACCATAAACATTTCCGTGGGTGCTATTTCTTCGTCACCTTAATGAATTTATTTTTATCAAGTTCTGATTTTTCAATGGCATTTACATAAGGACATGTGAGAGCACGGAGCCGTAAGAGATTCTTTCTTCTGGGGGCTGGGACTGAAAGGCCTTGTTACTAGGGCGTTTCTTAACTGCCTCTGAAAGGATGAGCTGAAGTTCAGCACAACCCTTTGTAATGCTTTTCTCATCTTTGGTACAAAATAGAGTCAAGAATTTAATCCTGTGCTCTAAATTAATATTTTGCTGTAGCCATGTAGAATTCCCAGTGGTGACTCTTCTTGCCTGTTACATTTGTTAATTCCATCCCATCAGACTCGTGGCATTCTGCATTTTTTCGGTTTAATGGGCAATTCCTTGATTCCTTTTTGTTTTGCTTCCTACTATACCTGTTCATTCATTTTATTCTTTAAGATATTAGTTGGGCTGGCCCCGTGGCTCACTCGGGAGAGTGTGGCACACTGGTAGCGCCGAGGCCCCGGGTTCGGACCCTATATAGGGATGGCCGGTGTGCTCACTGGCTGAGCGTGGTGCAGACCACACCATGCCAAGGGTTGCTATCCCCTTACCAGTCAAAAAAAAAAAAAAAGATATTAGTTAACTTTCCCCAGCATGATGCCTTCTGCTCGTTTAATGAGTATATTTCTCAAACGCTGATAAAACTCATTCATTTTCCCATAGGATGTTGTTAATATGAATGCGAACCATTTTTACTGTAAAGTGATACACCCCTAGTGTTACCAGAGCTCATCTTCCTGCTCTGAATGTGGTGCTTTTATTCCATAAACTCTTCTTCCCAAGACAAAAAAAAAAGTAAGAGTAAGAGTTGCCCTTTGCTGCACTCACCATGAAAATGACCCAGTACCCACTTGTCCTATACGGTGGTTCAGCAAAGTACGTACTGAACACATAGCCTGTGTACGTCATCCCAGGATCGACTGACCAAAAATTGAGAATAGAGGTGAGATAGGCACGAAAGATATGGTGGCCAGATACGCCCTTCTCATGAGTAGATGTAGCTGATGGAAAGCGTGTGCATGTGTTAAGTGCCGATTTCTAGAAGAATGCTGGCAAACGCTGTTGTCAGCCAGTAAGAGCTTTTGAGAGACGGCAAAAGTAAACCAAAGTCAAAGTGGGGTGAGTTAAAAACCTCCCCTAGATGTGAGAGAGCACAGTGACAGCGAGCAAGCAGAAGAGGAGCTCTTGGAGAGGAAAAGGTGTGGAAGGCAGAAGTGGCTGCCCATTGATAAATCAGGGAGAAATGAAGCGAGAAGAGTCCAGGGTTGAATGTAACAGGTCCTGGGGTGCACACCCTGTGCTAGGGCTGGGTCAGGGAGTCAGGGAAGGGGGCTTTGGAGCCTGAGACTAGGAAGAGCTCAGCTGACTGATGGAGAACAAGAGGGAAGGAGGGCTGGAGAGAAGGGAGGGCAGTGGGGAGGTACGACAGACAGAGAGGAGACAGGCAGGGAGAGCATGATGGTGACAGCCTACAGCTGTGTGCCGAGTCCCCTGGAGATCCTTTGACACCAGTGGGCACTTTTTGTGACATCTCAGGGACAACCATATTGAATAAGGCAGATTTATTCTAGTGTTCACGTAAGTATGTTTAACTCAGCTTTAACCAATAAAGGTCTATATGTTCTGCTTATTTGCTTCTTTATAACTTCGTGGTTTCTAAAGAAATTCTTTATATTTACGAAAATTAGCTGTACTTTATCATTCTGCATCATCTCCTTGGTTTGGTACTCTAAAATTTCTTTCAAAGATTGTGTATTCCATGATGCTTCCAGGCGTTGGAGAAAGCCTGATTCCCAGTGCGATCCCTGTCTTAGATTTCTTCCCAGTCTGGATAAACCTCAACACTCCATACTTTTATTTACTCACAATCTACCAATCCCTGGAGGATATTCTTCAGTTACAAGAGGTTTCAGATGTGAACATCGCCAGCTGCAGATGTAGCTCCTTGTTTTCAGTAGCCTAATGTCCTCTCTGTGCATCAGTTATCGGGCCACAGTAGCACAATTGAAATAGGCTCAGGTCAAAGAGCACTAAAAGCTCTTTTGTCATCCATTATTAATTGTGTTTGTCCCAATGAAGGAAAGAATCTTTTATTAGGTCCATTTCATTACATTTGCTGTAGTTAAGGGATTCTTTTTCCTATGTTTCATATTTGGTTTTGGGTTTTTTTTTTTTTCCTTTGTGGATCTCACTGGTGAGCTAGGCATTCTCCCATCACTGAGATGTGTGCACATGGTTATGGGTTTCCCCAGATATGACTGGGGTGGATTCCTCTGACACACAGGCACTTCCCCAGGGATGCTTGCTGGAGATTGTGAAAGAAAGATGGCTCCAGAAATGTACCCAGCAACACCTACCACCCACCCAAACCTTATGCAGTGAGCCAAGTGAGTAGACACTAGGAATCATGTTGGATTGGCAGACTCAAAGTATGGAAGATCCACTGGCCCAAAAGCTACTGTTCATAGCCTGGCTCTAGATACGCAAATTGTAGGAGCCTTCATAGGCTTTCTTGGCCCTTGTTGGGCAACTGCCAGTAAGTGTCACCTTTTTAAGTTCAATTATAGATGAGTCCATGAGATACCATTTTTAAAAACTGCAGAGCACAGGGTTTGCCACCACCATGCCTTAATTTAGGCCCATGCTCGTGGTGCAGGTGTTACCCTGTTTCTCCCTCTTAATCAATCTATAAGAGAGGAAAACTTGCTGACCTTGTATTTGGTTTCATTTGAGTTTAAATTCACTTTACCTGCATGGAAATTATCATGACCTTCCAATTCACAGAGCTGTAGAAACCATAGCTGTGGATTTTAGCTTTCTCCACATGTTTATTCTCAACAGTGACGGGCAAGGCCCCTTCAGTGTTGTGAAGCAGCCCAGGTCGTCAGCAGAACTCAGGGGAATGAAACTTTTGCAGGTTCCTGTGCTCCTACAGTGAGCAGTTGAAGTAACTTCTAGACTGGTTCTGTTTGCCAGACTTCTCTTTTCAAACATTTCCATTATTCATTGAATATCAACCAGCTCTGTAAAAATTGGTACAATTTGACATAATTTATACCAACAAGGGTGCTAGAATGAACGGACAGTTATCAACCAGCTCTGTAAAAATTGGTACAATTTGACATAATTTATACCAACAAGGGTGCTAGGAATGAACAAACAGCTTCAGTATAGTCTCACAATTTATTGCTATGTAAAAAACTACCCCAATAAGTAGTGGCTCAAAACGCAAGCTTGTACTTTTCTCATCAGACCATAGGTTGCCTGGGTGGTTCTTTTGGACTTGGCTGGGCTCGTGGCTCCGTGGTCAGCTGAGGGTCAGGAGATAGCTCTGGGGATCCTGGTGGGCTCCGTGGGGGCCTTTCAGCTGACTTCAGGCTGGCTTAGACAGCCTCTGCTGGGACCACTGAGCTCTCCTCCATGCGGTCTCTCATCCTCCACTAGCATTGCCCAGACTTGTGAGAGGGCTGTGGCCGTCTTCCAAGGCAGGATAGATGCACACAGGCTGCTGAGGCCAAGAATCGGAACCGGCCACCATCATGCCCACTGCCCACCACTGACCAGAGCCAGTCACAGCCAGCCCAGGTTCAAAGGGTAGAGAAATTGACTCCAGCTTTTGACAGGCAGAGTTGCAGAATCACGTTACAAAGGGGGGATATACAGAGGAGGGAAACAGTGGGGACATTTTTACTATCAAAGAAGTGACCCTAATCACTTCTTTGGGGGATTATGGATTCAAGCATTTATTCAGTTAACGTTTATCAAACATCTCCTATGCAGCAAACACTGGGCTAGATTCAGACATAAATAAGATATGTTCTCTAGAGAGAAGCAGATATCTTACAATAAATTATTTTGAATGCCACTCTCCCAAGTCTTGATACCAATGAGAAAGAATTTTTGTTCTTGTGTTAAAATTCCACATTTACTTTATTGATGTTACACATGGGTTTATGGTATCTCTCTGAAGCCTAACTAAGCAGTGTTTACACCTCCCATTCCCATATTCTCCAGACAAATGTTGCCTGGTACATATGGATATATATTGTATGTCTGTGTCCCAGAACTGTCCTCTTCACAGCTGAGTTAGTTGGCACAATGCCTGACACGTACAAGTCATTCAACACATGTTCGTTCAAGTGATTTAAATATGGCCTGTCAGCCACATGAACACACACACTTTGGAAATAATACATTAGAAACACAGGTGTGAAGTTACCTGCTCCCATGAAAAGCCTCATAAACAGGACACAGTAGGTCAATAAATCGTACTTTTGAGACTTTTAAGCACTGAGAACATGGGGATTTTAATTTGAGTAAAGGTTCCCAAATTTAGCTCTTGTAAATACACATATTATCCTGTTACTAAAATTGGAGTAAAAAACTTTTTCCTCAGTGCCTGTGGGAAAATATATGTATATTTTTTCAAATAATATTAATATTTTATGGTTTGCAACAAGTACTAGTAACTACTGGATGAACAAGTTTGAGAACCACCAATTCCAGAAAGAGCCCGTCATGCTGGTTGGCTGAGGTCACAGCAGCTATGGATTGGAAGGGCACTTTCTGCTTCTCCTTGTCTGGGCAGGGTCAGAGCTGTCTACCTACCTGTAAACAGGTCATCGTGACATCACAAAATCTATTTACATCTACTCAAAAGCCTTGTGTAATTTTTTTTTTATAATGTTCTGCTCTTCTTAGAGAATACAAGCTGTTTCAGAACCATCTTAGAAAGGCAGTTTATAGAAGTTGAAGGTTACTAAATGTTGCGAAGGCAGCTAGCCTGATAATTGGGCACCCTATGCAAAATACTTTAAACAAATTACCCCCAGCCATCAGCTCTGGCTGGACATAGCTCAGGGGCACAGGAGAAAGGGAGGTGGGGGCAGGAGAGTGTGGGCGAAAGCACTTGCTGGGGTTTTACACTGACAGCTCTCAGGGTAGAAGCAATTTCTGTAGTTACAATCAGATTCTTCTACTATATAGGGGAGGAGTAGAAGGAAGTAAGAAAAAGCTTCTTTCCTTGGCCTCCAAATTTCTTCTCTAGTAGCTGAAAAAGGAAGAGACTAAAATGAAGTCAAAAGAAGCAAAAGGAGGCTTGGACCCATAAGTCCCAAAGTATCCTGGAACCCGGGGAGCCCCAGAAGAGCCCAGCACATGCTCAAAAAAGCAAGGGCGGTGGAGTGGGGGACACCTTCTCACAGAGTCAGAAAGCTGGGCTGGGCTCATCCCAAGAAGAAAGGACTGAGAACACCCAGCAGTCCTTCAGACCCCATTAAACTTTAAATATTTACTGCAGTTACCCTGCATAAAGGCACTGTTTCCGATGTGTTAGTTAAAATATTCTAATAAGTTGGCATATTCATGGGGGTGGAGAAACTTAATTCCGTTGACCACTTTTTTCCCAGGCAGCAATGCAAACCACTTGCCAGCTCTCAACTGCTCAGACTGACATGTTCTGTCTTTTCTTGCTGCTGCCCCAAAGTCTAACAAACATAATTCTTTCTCTCCCTTTCTCAGAAGCCACCTGTGTTGGTTTCCTAGGGCTGCTGTTGCAAAGTACCACAAACTGTGGCTTAAACAACAGAAATGTATCATCTCACAGTTCTGGGGGTTGGAAGTCCGAGATCAAGGTGTCTCAGGGTTGGTTCCCCCTGAGGCTGTGAAGGAGAATCTGTCCCATACCTCTTCCATAGCTTCTGGAGATTGCTGACAAGCATGGGGGTTGGAAGTCCGAGATCAAGGTGTCTCAGGGTTGGTTCCCCCTGAGGCTGTGAAGGATAATCTGTCCCATACCTCTTCCATAGCTTCTGGAGATTGCTGACAAGCGTTGGCGTTCCTTGGTGTGTAAAGCATCCCCGATCTCTGCCTGCATCTTTGCATGGCATTCTCCCTGTGTGTGTGTGTCTCAGTATCCAAATTTCCCCTTTTTGTACGGACACCAGTCATATTGGATTGGGAGCCCACCCTACTCCAGTATGACCTCCTTTTAATGAGTTCTATGTGCAGTGGCCCTATTGCTAGATAAGGTCACATCCTGTGGTAGTAGGTGTTAGGACTTCAGCATCTGGATTTTGAGGGCACATAGTTCAGCCCATAATATGGCCCTCGTAGATCTCAGCTTTTCACCAGATCCGTGGTCCCCAGCTGTGGCCACTGCAGTCAAGTCCACCCAGCTGGCGTTTTATATGGGCTGTGACCTTTACCAGGGAATCTTAGCACACAAGCTATTCATAGCCAGCCCCGCGCTCTTGCACTTGGCATGCCTCGCTCTGCCCCCGGTGGCCTCTGCTGGGTGGCAGCAGTGGTGTGGGCAGGGTCGAAACTGCCTCCTTACACGTCTCTGCCCAGTGAACATTTGTTGACTGAATGAAAACAAATATGCAGATAAACAGCAGCAGCAATAAACGTTGAGACAAAATTTCTGTGGTTCGGCACCCAAAGTAGACCATTTCTCTGATGAAGTAACATCTTCATCTGGCTTTGTGGTGCGGCCAGCTTGGCTCATGTCTTAATGCACTTCTCACATAGCTGCAAAATCAGGCTGGAGTTCACCTTCCCTGCCTGCCGGGGTCAAGTCAAGCCTCCTCTAATGCACTTTCCATCTCTGTACGGCTTCTCATCCACATGACAGAGACATGACAGCCACCCCGTCCTTCCATGTCCCTTGCTGTAACTAATCCCATCTCCCTAGGTCTCTTCTCTCTCTGCCACATGCCATTCTGTCTCCTGCATTTCTCTTCTTGCTACTGCAGAGGCTCCGATGGCCCCCCTGCCCTCCACACCTGGCACCTGTGCTCACCTGGCAGTTGGCCTTTTGGTTGTTCACCTCTGCCCCTCCCGGAAAGACTTGGCGCTCTCCTCCTGCACCTGCCCCCACTTGCTCTCCGGAAGTCACAACCATCCCAGCCTCCCTCCCTTGATGTCACTTCCTTGCACCTCTGCCCCACCCCCCACTGCCATGGTTCCCATTCGGGCATTTCAGTATCCTGGAGATCATCTCTAAATCTGTGATTGTTCCCATAACTCAAACTAATCCTGAAAAGGATAGAGGGTTATTTCTTTTAACCAATTAATGTGGTAATAAGTTGTCCCCCAAACTTTGAAATGTGGGGGGAATACTTATTATTTCACCTAAAGCGAGACTCTGCACTCTAGCTTTGCTCCGATTTTGAAGCAGTTTCTGTCGCTGTCAAGCACGTTAATATCCATAATCAGAAGAGAATGAAAATAGTAGGAAGGCCCGCTGGTGGAACACTGGAAAACACTGAGAAACACAGGGACTATTTTCGTATGTGATATAAGCCTATATCAATGAGGTAGAAAATAGCTCAGTGTTTATCGAGTCTTTGCTAATAATATTTGTCAGAATGCCCAGCTAATACATTAGGAAGAGCTTTCTCTTTCTTCCCCTATATGCACCCAGCAAGTACACATCCATTCAGCCCATACTGGTGAGTGCCTGCTGTGTTCCAGTCACACTGGTAACAAATCCCAGCATGGGAGGAGCCCCAAAGTTCCACTGTGCGGGACTAGACCCCAAGTTGCCACCCTCCTCCTAAAAGCTGAAATAAAAGGACTAGCCTCTGTTCAAAAGCTAGCTTTAAAATTTGTATTGAAAAGGCATATCGACATCGAGAGATTTTCTCTTCGTGAATAATTAAGGATATGTGTAAACATCCAGCTTCAAATCTACCCATCAGGCATTCTTTTATAAAATCGAAATGATGGGAGCAACCTGAGTGTGGAATAATAGGAGACTGAGTTGAGACTAAGTGAACCTACAAAAAGGAATTCAATTCACTGAAAGGAATCCAGTGAATTAAAGTGTAGAAGCATGTCATGGAAAGATGTTCATGGTTTAGAAAGAATATATATAGTATGATTCTGTATTTATGTTAAAACACACACCATAACAGAACCGGGTGATTGGAACCCAGAGCGTTAGCTGTGACCCCTCTGGGTAGAGAGATGAGATTGTAGGTGACTTTCTCCTATTTGCTTATCTAAATTTTTAAATTTTTCTACAACAAACAAATATAACGTTGAAAATTGTTTTTAAGGTTTTGAGATAAAAAGCATTTAAGGCTGTCTCTTTCTAAATATCAGCACGTGTGCTCTCTGACCCCTCGCAGCTTACAGTGACCTAGGCTACTACATTATCAACAAGCTGCACCACGTGGACGAGTCGGTGGGGAGTAAAACAAGAAGGGCCTTCCTGTACCTCGCGGCCTTCCCCTTTATGGATGCCATGGTGAGTAGAGAAGACCGTTGGCTTATTTTTTAATCGTGGTAAAATATACATAACAAAATTTACCATTTTAACCATTTGAACTATTTTTGTGTGTTCAGTTCGATGCGTGAAGAACATTCATGTGGTCATGCAGCTAATCTTCAAAACTCTTTTCATCGTGCAAAACCGAGACTCTGTGTTCATTAAACAGTGACTCCCCATCTCTCCTCCGCCCGCCCAGCCCCCGGATACCCTTCTACTTTCTGACTATGAATTTGATTACTTTAGGTACCTCATATGGGTGGAATCATGCAGTATTTGGCTGTTTGTGGCTGGCTTATTTCACTAAGCATCATGTCCTCCTTTCATGCAAGTTGTAGCACGTGTCAGAATTTCCTTCCTTTTTAAGGCCAAATTATATTCCAGTGTTAATCATGCAGTATTTGGCTGTTTGTGGCTGGCTTATTTCACTAAGCATCATGTCCTCCTTTCGTGCAAGTTGTAGCACGTGTCAGAATTTCCTTCCTTTTTAAGGCCAAATTATATTCCAGTGTATGTATATACCACATTTTGCTTATCTGTTCATCCGTCGGTACTTGTGTTGCTTTTACCTTTG